GTGAAGCAAGGAAAAGAATTAAAACTTTTAACGTTACCTTGTTTTGATTTGGGAATATGCATAAATTGGAGGATGGAATTGTTGTCTTCCTTCTTAGATATAGTTATCATCTTGTGATTGACAACGCTTGATGGTAATCTATGTTGAAGAAGGGAATTTGAATGTGGGGGTTAAGAAAATGAATATTTGAAATGGGGTTTTAAAACCTTTGTTTCGCATAGGCAGGCTAATTTGGTTACTGCTTTTCACATTGAACATCTTACTCCCAAAAGTCACGTTTTAGCATAATTTAACACAAAATTCTTGATTGCCCTTCAAAATCACAATTTTCGTTAATTGACACAAAAGTACACATTCGAGCCTCCTACGAATATGCAATGATCAATGTATAACTCCACAATATGCACAATACCTTGAAGAGAAGTGCTACATGTACATAATCCCAAACTCCGTCTATTTCTATTCAGTCAAAATCAACTATAACACTTTCAAGTGAAGCAAGGAAAAGAATTAAAACTTTTAACGTTACCTTGTTTTGATTTGGGGATATGCATAAATTGGAGGATGGAATTGTTGTCTTCCTTCCTAGATAAAGTTATCATCTTGTGATTGACAACACTTGATGGTAATTTATGTTGAAGAAGGGAATTTGAATGTGGGGGTTATGAGAATTAATATTTGAAAAGGGGTTTTAAAACCTTTGTTTCGCATAGGCAGGCTAATTTGGCTACTGCTTTTCACATTGAACATCTTGCGATCGCTTGGACCAATTTTTTTGCAGTTTTCCAAGATTTTGGTCCCGAGTACTCGATTGACCCCCAAACCTCGAATTTTGTGCAAAATGATTTTTTAAGGTCATTGTATAAGCTCTAATACACAATTCACTCAGATAATCACCTTACTCCCAAAAGTCACATTTTAGCATAATTTAACACAAAATTCTTGATTGCCCTTCAAAACCACAATTTTCGTTAATTGACACAAAAGTACACATTCGAGCCTCCTACGAATATGCAATGATCAATGTATAACTCCACAATATGCACAATACCTTGAAGAGAAGTGCTACATGTACGTAAATCTATACATAATTGTATCCATAATTACACGTGGCACTAGATCCAACCATTAATTCAAATATCACACTTTCACATTAACAACATGATTTTGTCCGCGTCACATTATGGACATTATTATGTACATATATTATGTACATGTAGACTTTTCCTACCTTGAATGCGTTGTGTTGGTTGATGAGGATGACCTAATACAACCAAACACATAAAAATCTATATTAACTACCTAAGTCTGATTCCTAGAAACCACAATAAATAAAAGGAAAGAAAATTGTGTTTCCTCTCCATAAGCTCTGCACTTGATGATAGTTGGTAGGTTGAATTTATTACTTTGGCTATTCTAGATTGGTGAGTTAGACAATTGACTTCCTGTTGGAGAAATCTCCTCCCTAATATGCTATCAAGTTGTGCGTGTTTAGTTCGAACTTTCTCAAGCCATCTTTTGTTATCAACTCAATCATGCCATATGGAAATACCTCAACAACTGTGAAAGGATCCGACCACCTTGATTTCAATTTTATTGAAAATAATTCGAGACAAGAATTGTATGGCAAAACTTGTTGACCACCTACAAATTCCTCTTCTTGATGTGCTGATGCCACTTCTTCATTTTCTCCTTGTACAACTTGCATTTTCTTAAGTTCCAACCAAAATTCATCCATTCAATTTAGTTGAAGAGTCCTCTCTCCAATTGGAAGGTGACACGATTTTTCAAACACCAAACTATATGGACACATTTCGATATGTATTTTGAAAGGCTTTCAATAAGCCCATAAAGTATCATCCAGTTTCTTTAACCAATCTATATGAGATGAATTCATTGTGGGCTCAAGAATCTTCTTTAACTCATGGTTGAAGATTTCCACTTTCCCAGTGAAGGATCTAAGAATGAATCTCAGCTAGGGCGGTTGTGTTCGTTAATCATTGATTGTCGACAGTCAACGACCACAATAACGAGATTGTTTATTAGTAATTAAAAATTCTCCGATCTCTATGTAAATGCACTAAAATCACAATTCTTCAATCTATCAAGTTCCAATTTCCAATTTCCAACACCAATTTATCACTTGTCACAAATCACAAATTCCCCAATTTATCATTTATCACAAATTATAGACCACATTGTTTTTCCCTTTTTTATTCTTCTACTTTCTTGTCTCACAGTACCACTTAATTATGTTAGCTAAGAATAGCTCAAAAGACCGTATAAATACATTGTTTATTTTTGCATTTTTGTCCCCAACCTTTTAAACAGATCATTTTTGTCTTCAAATTTCAAGAAAAGGTAATTAATGGAGCGACAGACCTCTAACCGAAAAGCACGTTCTCCTTTCCTGCCTTCACGGTGCAACATCTTAATCGCTGCCACTGTCCCATCACTGAGGATCCCTCTGTAAACCATTCCATATGTTCCATTCCGTATTAATTTCGCTTCACTAAATTTATCAGTTGCCATTTCCAGATCCTTGAATGTAAATACTTGTGCATCTCAATTTAGGTTGCTGGGGGCGATTCGAGCCGATTCCGTACAGACACTCGCCGCTATTCACTTTCGCTGTCGAAATAAATTATCCGATAAATAAATTGAATTGAAAATGCAAAAGAATTTGCAATCGGGGGAAGCCATTAATTAATTAATTACCTGGACTGGAATTGATGTTTATGATGCTATGAGCAATAAACATGCAATTGCCGACAGGAGGGAGGAACCAAGTTTGGAAATTGAATTCGTTTGGGATGATCGATTAATTGGTATTTGGTGGGTAAATGGTAATGGATTTGATAATTGAGCCTGATTTTATTTAAAAAACAAGAGGCCCAAAGCTTTCAAAAAAGGGGCCCAAAGTCTAAATGGCCAAATGTATGTTTCATCTTCTTCCTTCCACTTCTTCCATCTGACCGCCATTGTAAACTTCCCTGGCGCTAGACGACGACTCCAAACTTCAACGGAGTTAGCACGGGCGTCTGCACCCCCTCGTCAGGTGCTGGGTCCGCCGTTGCACTTGCCCACTAATCCACGAATGATAAGGGGTTGAGAGATAATGCAATATGATGACAAAATGTGCCACATCGCAAGAAAATGTTTTTTTAGAAATTGAACCTCACTCATTTAGGAAAACTCGTTATGATATGTCCGATCTTGTTTTGGCAATTCAAGGTGAGATAAATAGTCGACTACCAAGTTCTCGCTTCCCTTTTATCACGGATCTCCAAACTAAATTCCTGCAAGAGAAGTTTTGATCGAATGAGTCTCGACTTCGCATCTTGCTTCGATAGAAAATACTTTAGCATGATATGACATGTGTACACAATCTCATTCGATCCAATTAGGTAAGAGCAATATTTGTTGAAGGTGAATATCACTACTAAAAGCTCTTTCTCGATAGTAGCATACTTTAACCGAGCTCTAATGAGAGTCTTGCTAACTTAGTAAATCAATGTTGTTCTTGCATTAACTCAAAACTACCCCAAATACATAGTTTCTCGCATCACTCATCGGTTCAAATGGTAAACTCCAATAAGGAGCAACAAGTACACAAGCTGATATTATCTTTTCATCTTTTCCTTGAAAGTATTGCAAGCAATCAAACACATTTTGAAAAAGTGAAAAAGAATATCCTTTTCAAGTACATTGCAGGGTGACTTTGTAATTTTAGAGAAACATTTGATGAACATCCTATAGAATCGTGCATGTCTTAAAAAACTCTGAAAACCTTTGACCTTAAGTGATTCGAGCACTCATCAATAAAGATCGAAAGATCGAGAAATCATCCATGAAAACTTTGAATTAGTTCTCCACCATGTCTAGAATACATAAGATTAGGGGTGGGCACAGATCGAAGCCCAACCCAAAATCCAAATCAATTAGGGGTCCTACTTGGACTTGTATTTTGAGTTGATTTGGTTCGATCTTGATCCACCTAAGGCACAATCACAACCAACAAATCACCACAAATTTTGACCCAACACCACGACTACCTCCCAATCCTCCACTACAAAATCACCACCTTCATTGCCATCACCACCAATTGAAATGTCAATGACCAATCTTAAAAAAAAAAAAAAAATTCACCACAAAATTGAGATCTTACATAAATTGTACCCTATTTTAATTAAGTGGTCACCAGAATTCTTTCATGGTCCTTCCCCTTCTAGTTTTTTATTCGATTTCCACTTTTCAACATTGTGTCGATGACTAAAGATGGAGACAAGCAGTATTTCAAATATGCTTTCATTCGGATCTCACAGTGGAAGTTGGCGCATGGGTTTGTAGTATCGATGGTAGTAGTAGACGGATTCAAGGTGGGTTTGAACTCATGGTGAGGTCACAAACTTTGTAGAAAAAGTGGGTTAACGCCTAATGGAGAGGATAAATGGAGAACTCAATCACGAACCGAATGTTATTGTCCAACCCGAAAATCGATCAAATGGGCTCCAAACCAACCTGAATTGGGTTGGGTTGATTTGCGATTTTGAGGGTTTTGCCATCTGTACGTGAGATATGAAACCCATTTTCTTTTATTTTTAATCTTTAGTTATTTAAACTCGTTAGATTTCTTGTATTATTATCATTATTTTTAAAAGTTAGATCATATTAATATCTCCCTCGTAAGCAAGGTATTTCTCTTTCTCGTTTGGAGGGACCACTAAAATCGTACAAACTACGAAGAGACGGTCAATCCCCTGTAGACGCTGCCGTCTTCTTCCGCCTTATATATAAATCCATAGGTCGACTCGCTTTCCGCTTTCGGAGCTTAATATCCAAATTCTTATCTTGAAACAAAGATAAAACAGAGAAAACCACAATTTCTCATTCATGACAACACCCCACCCAATCATTTAATCTATCTCCCTGAGCACATATACTGCATATTTTTTGAGCGAGTTACAGAAGATATACTTTTAGCTTCCAATCCGCAACCGATGTCCAGAAAAGGAGGAGCCTCCCTACAAATCGATGTGCCCTGGAGGGCATCCTCTGGTTCCAAGCCTATTCCTAAAATTCACCTTTCCCCAATTCTTCGTCTCCCTCAAACGCCCCTTTCGGAATATGCTCTCTCTGTTATGAAGGTTAGTAGACGTATATGGCGTTTATGTGTGTGTAATTGTCGATAATTAACTCTAATATTATGGGTTATATTTAATTTATTTTGAAGTTCATATTTGGCGCTTTTGTTGGTGAGGAATTACAAAGTTTCAATAGTGTTATAGATTGGCAATATTTCTGTTTAATATAGATCTTTTATACGTTTCTATGCTTTCCTGGTATATTGGGTACAGAGGATTGATAGCTATGGATAATATTAGAGAAGAAAAAGTTGGGACTTTCTAGTCATGTTTACTGCGTATCAAATATGCTATTATATTAATTCTATTAGGTTATAGTGGGATTACTTGAAGAAGAATAGAGAGGTTGTTCTCAGTTCTAATCCTCTTATGCTTCGCTGCAATCCGTAATGTGTTTCTATGTATACGTTTAGATTTCATATGGTTTTCTATAGATTTTTGAGTGCCTCAGGATGTTCTTTTGCTAGTGATTTTTACCCAGTTTTGATATTTTCATGTAAAATTACAGTCTTTACTGTGCACGTGTATAAATTATTTTTTCATTTAATGCACGTCCTTTTGATTTCTAAAATTATAAATAAAGTTCTATAGATCATTATGCTTTGTAACCTTATGGGTTTATGGTGGGAATTTTCAGCACCCAGACCCCATTGGGAGTGGGCTAGGGAAGGAGGCTATATTGGAAGCAGCAGGACCAGATTGCATTGTGCCTGGACAGACTGCACCTGTTAAATTACTTGGTCTTAAGGTGCCTTTGTGAGACCGAGCTTTTTATTATTAAATAGTTCATTTTTCTCTTCATCGCCCGAATGTTACTTACATGAAAAATAAAGATACACTTTTTTGATTATTTCGGTATTTATTTAAACTCAGAGCTATATTTTTCGTCTTGCAATATAGATGACTTAATTTGGGAATTGAAACTCAAAAGAAAAAGCTCATAGAAAGACTTAAAGAAAATATGTCATTACTAGTGCCGTTCCAGGCAACTCTATCCACATTGCATTCACAATGTTAAACTCGTAATGCTTCACCATAAGATTTTGAACAAGCTGCACTTCCCAGTCTTGAAAAACCCCCTAAAAGATAACCTTACACCACCTTCCCCACGGAAAAGTTGATGATATTCAAGTTAGTGAGAATCTAAATTTGGAAGTAGAAAAAGTTAGCCTGTAAACTCGATACCAATTATGTGGCTTTAGAAAATTCAAAGTTAATTAATATTTGCTATTGAAATATTCATATGTTGTCCCAGAAGTGTAAAAGAAGATTCAGAGTAAGGTCTTGATGATTATTAGATTGATAACAGTTAATGTAATTTCAATGAAGCAGCACACAAAAATTATTCAAAAGAACTAAAGAGCATAAAAAAACAAAAAGATGATGTCCAACAGTATATCAGGTAAATACACTGCTGAAAGGGGTAGTTATGAGTTTAAATTGACTTTCGTTTGTGTAAGATTTCTAAAGTTATGAATGGAGATTTGCACCGACATCACATAAAATTCAAAGTGGATTGGTTGTGTACTTGGAAAGAATGAAGGTCAATTTTTTGCTTCAAGCCTTCAAAAGAAACAGATGGCAGTGTCCCCAGCTTTTCAACAAACACAAATATTGAATTTAGAAAAATAGTAGAGTACTGAGAGGAGTTATATGAGGCTATATTGAATTTTATACACTTCTTAGATGTAACAAATATTGGAGCATTCTCCTAGAATTTAGAAATAATTTCTTTTGGAAGGGATATTATTTATTTGTTATCTAGCTCATAGGTAATAGGAATTCTCAATTTCTTTTGTGGCACACAGCCTGATCATCCTCCTAGCCCTCTAGCTCATATTTTCCAAATAAAATTCATTCTCCTCGTACTCATCTATGCAGGTATGGCCCATTGAGATTGATATGAAGTTTATAGAACCAGTTGGAAGGGAACTCAAATCAATTGGAAGGGTAAATTTCATGCATTTGAATGTTTTTATACTGCTATGTTCTTTTATCAGTTTGTCTTGGGAGTTAGATAATCAAGCCGCTTTAGTAGTGCATAGTTAATGTTAGATTCCCTGCTGCCATATTATCTCTTTAGACGCATTCCCTAGACCCCTACTTATGTTCTCACTTCTCATATTAATGGAGCTGATTTTTCCTCGCCTCTTGTCAACCATTTGTATATGAAGTGTTTTCTTCATCTATTTTGTGTTCAAATGCGTAACTGCCTCAACTTTAGCATTGTCTCTTAACTGATATGGTTACTTGTTCCTGTGGTGGCAGTTCATGGATTCAGCAGTCGATCTCATGAACAAATCCTTTATTGATCGCTAATACTTCATATTTCTTGAAATGGACGGTAATCTATGGTGCTAGAGTTCTACTATCTATATGGGCCATGCTGAGAATTGGTGAATCCAAATGTAGAGAGAGTCTGTCCATTTTTGTTCTTTATTGGTTAAATTTTCCTTAAAACTGAAAATCTTCATTTTGAAGAGTTTGATCAAATGGCAGTTCTTAAAATTGTTTCGACTCTGAACTTCTCTGTCTCAATTATTTCAAGGTATTCTCCAACTGGTCAGTGACTTTTATGGTTATTTCTTATTTTTTGAGCCTCTAAGAACATTTTCCAGAGACTCTATTTTAGAAAGACAATGCTTAAAAATGAGTTCCAAGAGACTCTTTATTTTAACTTTTTAAAATCGAGAGTGGGTTTGACTCTTCAAATTTAAAGAACCAAACTTACTCTCTCTATTCTTAATGTACCATGATTGTATTTAATACATTACAAATTTCAATACTCTACAATTTAAATTATTCAATTTACATTTGAATTGATTGACTATTAACATATAAAAATTATATTAAATAAGATATGAGGAGAAATTATTAAATGTTGATTGGAAAAAAACAGAATAAAGAGTCAAAAATAGAGAGCTTGTTGGAGTGCATAAAAAAATTACCTTTAAATTTAAAGAGACTTTCAATTATGCATAAAATGTTCTTTATAAATAGAAAGTCTCTTGAAAATGTTCTAAATAACTCTCTATATGAAGCATGTGAATTTGTGTGTGAAGAAGTGTTAATAATTTGACAAGAAAATCCCCTAGGTTTTTTATGCCAACACAAATGAATATTAAATAGGTTTATTTATCATATTTATATATTTCAAATTGCAAGATATACTCTATATACAGTAGAGAAACTAGAAAAGTGCCGTTGTCAAAAAGTTCAACTAATTGCGGCTTTGGATTCTTTCCCTTCACTTCCTTCAATAAATAAAACGAAGATTTTTAGTTTTGCATGAGCTGCTGCATATTGCATAGGGCAACCCACAAAGAGTTTTGATTTATTGTCCTGACTTGACTGTCCCCTTGGATGTTTCGCCAAAAAAATTGACCTTGATACAATTTTGAGGTGTCAACATTTTGGTAGTTCACCCCGTGCTCTTAAATAGTCTAGGAATAGGTGATTGTTTAATGAAGCTGTGATACATTTTGGTTTATTAGCCAATGAATTAGGGGGCTGATGCCATCTAAACCAACGATAAATAACATTGTTCTTTGGTAATACAAACATTTTTTGTTTGAACAATGCTATATATCACTAGCAATAGTTGAAGTGACAATGAATTCTAGAATTATGCTATTTAGCATAAGTGATGCTTGTCACCAAAGAACTATTTGTGCTAAATAGCATTACTCGTGGACTCCACCACTGATGCTTGTCTAATGAATGAAATTGCTTTTGTATCACTATGTTCATTAAAATTCTACATTTAATTCGGTGTCAAAATTTTAGAGGTGGCACTGAAGGTCAGGGATTCGGACCTCCAATCATTACATTGTACCATTCTTGCAACTTTTTATGTGAGAAAACATAGTGTTGGAAACTTGGAGATATCCTCGGAAGTATTAAGAAAAAGAAAACACAGCATGGTGGCAGTTTGAGGGCCATAAGAAACTTCAACTTCCAAGTGGTCACCAGCCAGTGGTTCATACTTTTTGCCTCCCTCCTAATCATGTCGATGTCTGGTGCAACCTACATGTTCGGCCTCTATACCACGACATCAAATCATCTGTGTTATGACCAGACAACCTTGAACCTCCTAGGATTCTTCAAAGACATCAGCAAAATTATAGGAATCATGTCTGGCCGTACTAATGAAATTACACCAACTTGGCTTGTTCTTTCGTTCGGTGTAGTCATGAACTGTTTAGGCTACTTCATGATATGGTTAGCCGTCACCGGCTGCACAGCCAAACCCCATGCGTGACTGATATGTCTATATATATTTATAGGTGCGAATTCCTAAACATTTTCCAATACTGGTGCACTGGTTACTTGTGTCAAGAGTTTCCATAAAAGCCGAGGGATAATTATAGGGCTGCTGAATGGTTTTGCTGGATAAAGTGGGGCAATTATCATACAGTTATGTCATGCTTTTTATGGACATGATTCTAAGTCTCTTATTTTCTTTATTGGTGGGCTTCAAGTGGCCTTTCTTTGTATTTTCCTCCGTACAGTTCGACTCATGAAGGTTGTCCAGCAAGAAAGTGAGCTCAAAATCTTCTATAACCTTAACTACGTGTCATTAAGTCTAGTGAGTTTCCTCATGATTCTGATTATCTTACAAACCAGACTCCATTTTCCTAGAGCTGCAAATGCGGGAAGTGACAGTTTTGTGCTGATTGTATTGTTTCTCACCTGGCTGTTATCATCAAAGAAGATTTCAATGTTTGGAACAGCAAGAGGCAAGAGTTAAATAATCCAATTCAAGTGAAAAAGTTGTTTCTGAACTGTCAAATCTACACCAGTTGAAGATACAGAAATTGAACCTAAGCTCGAACCTGTGATCGGGAAAAGCAAGGAAAACCGCCAGTTTTGTGGTGGAGCAACCCTTTCAAACCACCAGAAAGAGACAAGTATTACAACATTTTGCGAGCAATTTCCATCATAGATATGATAAGTTTATCTATTGTCACAACATTTGGAGTAGGGGGGACATTGACAGCAATGGATAATCTAGGACAAATTGGTAAGCATATGGAATTATCTTGGAGAAGTAGCCTCCGGTTTCTTGGAAAAGTGCATATTCCCACATCTAGGCAGGGTTGCCCTGCCAAACCCGAGCCCTGTTTGGGTTGTTTCGGGGCAAAAAATTGCTTCCCCCGGGCTGGGGACAGGGATTCCCTGTCCCTACCCCGATTTGTCTAATTAATTTTAAAAAAATTAAAATTTGTTTAGAATCACCCTAGTCCATCTTTTTTATCGATTAGCCCAATTTCCAAATTACCCACATGCTTATAGAATTTACAAGAAAAATAAAAAACAATCCTGCCCTGCCTCAATGGGGAATGGGGCAGTGAAATCCCCAGTGGGGTGGGATGTGCACCCTGACCAGTCCTGTTGCCATTCCTCCCATGTCCCCTAATGCTTACATTGGTACTTCTTCTCTCATGCATTGGCCATCTTCCCATTGCACTTGGGGTCCCAAAATCTCTATATTTATCCTCTGTGATTATAGGGTTTTGTTTTGGAGCCCAGTGGCCGTTGATCTTTGCAACCATATCATAATTATTTGGGCTCAATGGTTAAACTTTTGATTTTGTTAATTTTGAACTGTCAAGAAATATTGTGAAGAGATAGCTGTTGATAATGTCCCTCAATTTACAACCATAATTAGTATTATGTTTGGCTTTATCCTTTGCATGGACATTCATAACTCGTTGATTTGTGTTCTTTATATGGTTAAATTTCCCCACAAAATCAAAATTCTGCATATTGAAGAGTTTGATGAAATGGCAGATCTTAAAATTATCTTTAAGGGAAATCCTTCATTACTTAGGGTGTTGTGAAAAGTGGAGACGATTCCAGATCAATCCTATACCAAAATATTGAAGAAAATAAGAGATTATAGTCACAGTATGAAGTAATTGATCATAAGAATAAAATAATTTGTAGAGAATGAAGATTTTATTATAATATGGAGAAAGAATACAAAGATTTGTGTTTACAATTTTGTCTAACCTCTTACTAAATCATATTGAAGAGTGAATTATATATAGGGAACAAATAGAAGACGTTCAAATCCTCACAGTAGAGTCGTAGTTGAAGTAGAATGCAATAAATGGATTAGAGAAGGAAAAATCGCGTAGGGAGAAAATAGCCGGGAGGCGTCTCGGCGCTAGGCCAAAAATATCCCAGTGCCCACTCTCGGGTCCTTTAGTTCAAACTTTGATTTTCTTCGTTCCAATATCTTCTTCAAGTCCAACACAAATTTCTACTCTCAATTAAGCTTCCAAATAGAATTTCAGCTAAAATTCGCCAAGTAAGCTTGAATATGATTCCATAATAACATTTTAAATAGAATTTTCCTTAATGTGCACTTTAATTAGAACTCCCAACTGTTTTCAACAAAGTTTTGAGCCTCTCATTCACTCTATGCAAAGCATGTGCATATTACTGTGTGCGCGCACTAGTGTGTTCTTTGCAAATGTCAACATTATAACGAGCAAATTAAATACCCCAAGCTTGCCTACTTCTCGCGATTGTTTAGTACATGCATTCACTTGATATTTTCATTTAGAAGCTGACAAAGAAAAGATTGTTTTTTCTTACTGAAAATCCAAATCCAAATGGAGTTTTAGATGCTGCTGATTTAAATTGCAGAAAGGAAACCATACTTTTGTGTCCTCTCCTTTTCATTTCAGAATTCATACTACAATAACATAGATGTGGTGGTGACATGTAGAAACAAGAAGATTGACAAGTTTATCAGAAGAGATAAGAGAATTGCATGAGAGTGTGTCCTGCAGCTCCCGGAATCATCTCCATCATAGTCCTCTACAACACCTGAATTTGCATCCAAATCAGTTCCACTACTATTGTCTCCGGCCGTCCACTTTCCCAGATTGTGTCCACTGCTCACAAATATCAATAACAAAAAAGTTCAGTGTTCTTACCCATAAACTAGATGTGTCAAAATATATCGAACTATTCAGGCCAAGTAGCCCGACTTAGAAAAAGTTTAGCTTAGATTTGGCTAATGCTGTGCCATGGACTGGCCTGGCCTGGCCATAGAGCCGTGTAGTGTCAGGCCTTGGGCCACTGGCTTGCATAGGTCTGCTTATATAAGCACATAGGCTTGGTTTGGCACTGGCTGTGCTGGGTCAGGGTTGCTCGTGGGGAGCGGTCTTAAAATTGGACTTGTCAGTCCTTTATGGCCCAGTTGACACCTCTACCCTGAACAAGGGTTATCGAGGAGTTTGTTGCTAGGTTTGTGTATCTAACATATCCGGAAAAAAATTGTCGAAAAGGAAGAGAGAGAGAGGAAAAAAGAAAAGAAAAAGAAGGGAAAGAGAGTAAAAAAGACCTGCTAGTGAGGACACCGGCGTTCATTACAAGTTGGTCAATATATGAAGCAGATTTGGGCTCCACACTATAGGCCTTCTCATATTTCACCTCTACACCCTGTCCAGAGGCTACAAAATATGCTCCATTTACCATTACATCTCCCTCACTTCTCCAGTTCCAATCCCTCCATTTCTCCTCTCCTGTGTCCACACGCTTTGTCACCTATCAAAACAAATTTCTTTCTTTATAATTTAATCGTATATATTAAAATTGGTTAGGTTGTTCATCCATTAAAGTGGTACATGAGCTGGATTCAGAATATTGTGGACAAATTATATTACTATTGGATGATTACCTCTTTCGCATTGCGATCGAAGGGGGCAATGTATCGATTTCCCTGGCTATTGATGGTAGGATTACCACTCCCTCCAATTGCATACATTTCCCATTGTGTAAAATCATTATTCACCACATGTATGAACCCTCTTCTGCATCTTGGCATTCTTTGGATAAGTTTCTTGCCAAAGTGATTGAAAGCAATAGTCACTTGCATACCAGAATCCGGCAAATAATCGTCGCTGTGGCCTAATAGCATAACTTCGTTATGGTGTGAAAATTGATTATTGGATATTGTGATCCCAGTCGACCCCATGACAGCATCGATCAACCCATCCTTGCAATGTGACAATGAGCAATGGTCGATCCATATGTCCCGAGCACCGAAAATGGAAATCCCATCACCGTCTGATTTTGCGCGCCATCCATAATGTGTTGGACTTGACCTTATATTAGTATCACCAGCTTCATAGCAATGGTGAATGTGTATATTATGGATGATTACATTAGTTATGTACTGTAACGTTATGCATCCACCACCGGTAATTTGAACGTGAGTTCCGCGACCGTCAAGGGTCTTGTACGAATTGAAAATTAGTTCTTCGGAGAGGTGTATGAGCATGTTGGCTGCGAAAACAATCCATAGAGGCTCAGTTTGGATGACAGCATACCGAAGGGTTCCTGGAGCCGGATTGACTGGATCATGGTCCGAGGAGTCCGTGACCACGTAATATTTGCCACCCTTACCACCTAGGGCATACTGGCCAAATCCGATGCCACAATCGGCTAATCGCTGACGGTTCAACTGCCAACTGGGGTCACAGCGCCAGCAATCGTCGATCGGGTTGCCTGTCGTGCAAGAAGATGACTGGTCGTTGGTGGTGTAGGATAGCATTTTTCTTCTTGAAAGTGACACATTTACTTTCCTGCAACATGTGTAAACGTCAATCTTTTAGTTTTCTTTAGTGAAAATACAAATATATATTCTAAATATTTCCTAGGATACCATCTATAGAGTTTTTTGAGGGGCCACCTTAACGCCTATAGAGTAAAAGCAAACAATAAACCATAACTATGCAGATCTACCCACAACCAGAACTCTGGCCAATGCAAAGTGTATATCTCTATTATATGTAATAAAATGGTAGTAACTTCGTGGACAACTAACTCCAAGACTTAAAGTAGGGGTTGGCACAGTCCGGTTTGGGACGAGAACATTTAAGTGAGAAATGTGATAGCTTAGGTCGAGGGATGAACACAGAAAGTACAAAATGCAGAAGCCCAGAAAATAAAGGTGAGTAAGAACCAACCTGTGAACATCTTGAACTACATCTTCAGGGAAGGGGTGTTCACCAGGAAGAGTGAGGTTCACCATTGCTGAACTGAGGTGAAAAAATGAACCCACAAAAAAGATAAACACAATGCAGCTTCTGCTAAACATTTTCAGAGGATAATGTACTTCTTTTAGTCTATTTCCTACAGGTTTCTATTGATAATGGATTTACAGATTCAAGAATATGAACATTTTGAAAGGATAGAGTTAGTACTGGAGAAAAACTAGTAATGGGATTTTCTGTTCTTCCTCTTCTTCTCGCTGTGCGTGTTAATGTAATTAGTCGTATATAATCATTGACAAAGAATCCTTCGAAGAGGTGAAAGTGAAAAGGTAATAGGAGAAAGTGCGCTCCGGTTGGGAAGAAAAAAGAGACCGTAATTGGAGTATTTAGGTTGTCTTTTTTACTTTTGTAAGGCAATTTTTGACACTATTGCATCGTCTTTGTTTATATTGTATCATACTTAGAGGGTGCATTTGGTACACAGTGTGATAAAATTATTGCTATATGGCTTTCGGTGTTGTCAATATTCAAAATTTTCTTAACTTATTAGTTAATCCTTCTATAGTCACACAGTAATAATTAGTATCAATATCATTCTTCCACCCATGCGTTAATTGTAGCTCTTCAATGCTTCTAATTTTAACCTAGTAGCACAGTTTAAGTCCAATATCCGTATGATTGCTAGTTATTTCAACTTCTAAAATGCTGGTTGTTGCGTTTTTTCTATTGCAAGTATACGATATCGTAACAAGTGATACGGTGAACCTTCTAGTCCTGATTATCGTTCTCACGAGAATTACACTTTCGAATTTAATTGGATTATTCTAACTCCTATTTGATTAAAGTAAACAAAAAATTATGTGTTGTTGTGAATTTTTGATTTAAACAATTGAAATTAATTACAACGCACACAAAGATTGATTGAGAATTCAAATAATGGATGAAACTTAGGGATGGACAATTTTACCTATTGATCACCTTTAAGTCTTATTTCAAAAAGTCTAATGTAGTGTTCGATCGAATTCTTCTATGATATTCAATTTACCCCCCTCGAGTTCTAATTGAGTATATCTAACTAATTCAATCTCATATCTCTATGTGAATCTACCTTAGTTAAACTAAATATTGGTTCTAAAAATTCATATGATGATCACAATATTTAGTATAGGTATTTCTACACGTTATACTAATATATCGAATTTTACTATATGCTCTAAATCTCAAACTCACCACTCGATTCATAAAAGATTCATTAAATCATCAAATTAGTGATCAAGTAATTTAACGCATTAAACTCATAGCAAAATCAACGCATGTATGATAAAATAACAAGAATCTTGAATAAAGACATAAATGGTCTCAAGTAAATTACATTGTTTGTCATAATATCAAATTTAGCTACTCATAATAATGAAAGAAGAAAAATAAGAAGTTTTTATTGAATACATCACCGAATTTTAATGTAAATGTAGAAAAAGAAATCAATCTTGCACTAAGATGTTCTTCCTCTTCCAATCAATGCTTCAAAACTTAAATTTCTTGATTTTTTTCTCCCTTCAATTGCGTTCCTCAATCTCTCATTGTATTCTCTTTCTCTCAATGTGTAGCCCCCCCTCAAAAGTGTCAAGTAACTTCCTTTATACTCTTCACCACGGTTATATGAATATAGGGTTTATTGTGAACTCAAAAGTTAGCCCAAAAAAAAAAAAAGTCCTGACGTCTCCAAGCGTTGGCGTAGCGCCGTGTCCAAAAACCCTGTGGCAACTCTGTCGTCTTCTGCTCTGCGGCGCTACAACTCCGATATGTTTGGCTTTGTGGCGTTTCAGCGCTACTCTTCTTTCCTCGATATTTCGATTTGACTATTTTGCCCTTTCTGTTACCATGCCCATGGCTTTGTCTCTTTTCTTTCCCTGATTTTTGCCGTCTCATCACTTCTACAAAACAACACTAATAAACACATTAAAAAGGTTCACTACTCCTAATATTTAGCTCATATCTCTTTTAGTCTTATTCTCAATCCAATATGATGTACCGTATTTACCCTTATTTTTTGTACTGCCATTGATAATACAGTTAAAAGGTGATGATAGTATTTGAATCTTTTTTATTCGTTTTTATTGAGATAAACACACAGCCTATCTCAATAGATAGAAGATATTCTGTAATGTATAATGCTTGTTGTACATAATTTATGTACATAAGATGATACATAATGTGACGTGGCAATCATCCGGTAGTTAATGTGAAAGTGTGAGATTTGAATTAAAGGTCGGATATGTGCCACATGTAATTATGTAAATCATTATGTAAAAGATTATGTACCTCTACCAAAGTCCTTCTGTAATAATATATCGAAACTTGTACAACTTGAACCCTAATGGCTACCTTTATCATACTTCCATTTTTTCAGGTCAAGTGGCCCATAATTTATCCACTTTTTAAGAGCCAGAAACACTGGACATACATATATGCAACACATAATTTAATAAATATCGAAATAGGATGGTTTAACACAGTGAGGGCCAGTGGCACTTTTCTTGGGGATCCAAGAACAAATGGGGCGCCCGTTTTCCTACTACTTTAGATGATATTAATGGCCATCAAAATAATGCATACTTTTGATTCTGTTCTTACTTTTTGTGCTTTAATTCCGTAATTAGCTCATTGCATGGTTTAATGCTGCCTTAGATTATGGTCATGTATTTCTGCTTAACTTGCTAATTCAAGAACTTTATGCATGAGAATAAGTTTAAACTACAGTCTCCTGCTCTCTAAATCCCTTGGGGATACATCGAACAACAAGATGAAGTACGGTTCT